TATATATATATATATATATATATATATATATATATATATAATCAATTAATCAATCAATCATCTTTAAGTAATTGGCATGTGAAATAAATGATAAATGTTGAGGTGCTTATTTGTTTTCAGGCCACATCTTCTGTCCCTTTAAAACCATCATCATTATCAAAAAAAAAAATTCAGTTACAGAAGATATTATTATTAAAAGTATGAAATAATGTCACCCTACATACTGAAAGTGTCTATCCTGTGTCTTTCAGACAGCACAGGAAGTGACGAAATGAACCAACAGAGAAAATCAGCAGCTATCATCTCACCGATCCACATGTGGAGGTCTGCTCCCTGTTCACCCCGGTTATCCAGCACAAGGTAGGAGTCACCGTTGAAGAAAGCCCCCACCTCAGCTTGGGCCAGAGGAACAGCCTTCATCTTCTCCACTCGCCAACATCTCAGTCCCGGCTGTCTGATCTCATCCCCAAACTGTCCTGGAGCGGCCTGGAATGGGAGCATTCTGCAGAGAAACAGAAAAGAGGTGAGAAAGGGAGGATCAAACAAGAATAACAGATAAATAAAGTCTCCAAAAAAACTACAGTCAGCAAACTGTACATCTAATTTCAGTAAATTAATAAAAAGATTCATTGTTTCCTCCCTGAAATATGTTTTGAAAGCTGATACAATTGCCTGTGTTTCCCAGCTCTGCTCCTAGAGTACTCCAGTGATGAGTGCCCTAATGAGTGGATGAGTTGATTCAGGAGTGTTAAATAAGGAAGACTTGCTAATAGTGCTGGGCGGCATACCGGTAAATACCGAATACCGGTGTTTATTTTTGTTATGATATGAATTTTTTAAATACCGCAATACCGGTGTATGTCGCTTAAACAACGTTCAGAACGCGACACTGTTTGAAAGGGGTCCCTTTTCACTGTTGCACTGTGGTGAGGGAACAGCTGTATGTGTTACTAAGCGTGAAAGTTCCGAAACTGAAGCTGTAGAACTAATAGAACGTGATGACACAGAAGAACTCATCCACAATATCCACCTTGACCGCCACAAATATCCACCACCCCCTGCCATCAGCTCCCGCGTCTCACACACACACGAGCGCGACTTTAGCACTA